ACAGTTCTGGAAGTCCTTGCTAGAGCAGTAAGACAGTTGAAGGAGATCAAGGGGATACAAATTGGAAAGGAGGAAGTCAAATTATCACTATTTGCAGAAGATATGATAGTATACTTGAGTGACCCCAAAAACTCTACCAGGGAACTCCTACAGCTGATAAACACCTTTAGCAAAGTGGCCAGATACAAAATTAACTCAAAAAAAAAATCAGTAGCCCTACTGTATACAAAAGACAAAAGGGCTGAGAAAGAAATTAGGGAAACAACACCCTTCACAATAGCCACAAATGACATAAGGTACGTCGGAGTAACCCTAACCAAGGAAGTCAAAGAGTCAAAGACTTGTATGAAAAAAATTTCAAGTCTCTGAAGAAAGAATTAGAAAAAGATATGAGAAGATGGAAAGATCTCCCATGCTCATGGCTTGGCAGGATTAATATAGTAAAAATGACCATCTTACCAAAAGCAATCTACAGATTCAATGCAATTCCCATCAAATTGCCAACACAATTCTTTACAGATCTGGAAAGAAAAATTCTCAACTTTATATGGAATAACAAGAAACCCAGAATTGCTAAAACAATCCTCTACAATAAAAGATCTTCTGGAGGTATCTCCATCCCTGATCTTAAGTTTTACTATAGAGCAACAGTTATAAAAACTGCATGGTACTGGTATAGAAACAGAATAGTGGATCAATGGAACCGAACAGAGGACCCAGAAATAAACCCACACACTTATGGACACCTGATCTTTGACAAAGATGCCAAAATCATACAATGGAAAAAAGATGGCATCTTCAACAAATGGTGCTGGTCCAACTGGATGTCTACATGTAGAAAAATGAAAATAGATCTATACTTACCACCCTGCACAAAACTGAAGTCCAAGTGGATCAAAGACCTCAACATAAAACCAGACACATTAAATCGGCTAGAAAAAAAAGTGGGGAATACCCTAGAACTCATTGGTACGGGAGAAAACTTCCTGAACAGAACACCAACAGCACAGGCTCTAAGAGGAACAATCAATAAATGGGACCTCATGAAACTGAAAAGCTTCTGTAAAGCAAAGGACACCAACATCAAAACAAAGCGACTGCCTACAGATTGGGAAAGAATCTTCACCAACCCTTTATCTGACAGAGGACTCATATCCAGTATATATAAAGAACTAAACAAGCTGAAAAGCAACAAACCAAGTAATCCACTTAAAAAATGGGGAACAGAGCTAAACAGAGACTTCTCAATAGAGGAATATCGAATGGCAGAGAAACACTTAAAGAAATACTTAACCTCATTAGCCATTAGGGAAATGCAAATCAAAACAACCCTGAGATTTCACCTTACACCCATGAGAACGGCCAAGGTAAAAAACTCAAGGGACAACACATGCTGGAGAGGTTGTGGAGAAAGGGGAATCCTTCTCCACTGCTGGTGGGAATGTAAACTGGTACAACCACTCTGGAAATCTATCTGGAACTTTCTAAGACAATTAGGAATAGTGCTTCCTCAAGATCCAGCCATACCTAACTCCTAGGCATATATACAAAAGAGGCTCAAGTACACAAAAAGGACATTTGCTCAACCATGTTTGTAGCAGCCTTATTTGTAATAGCCAGAAGCTGGAAACAACCCAGATGCCCCTCAACTGAAGAATGGATGCAGAAATTGTGGTACATCTATACAATGGAATATTACTCAGCAATGAAAATTAAGGAAATCACGAAATTTGCAGGTAAATGGTGGGACCTGGAAAGGATCATCCTGAGTGAGTTGTCCCAGAAGCAGAAAGACACACAGTATATACTCACTCATATATACATGTAATATAGGATAAACCTACTAAAATCTGTACATCTAAAGAAACTAATCAAGAGAGAGGACCCTGACTAAAATGTTCAATCCCCACCTGAAAGGCAAAGAGGATGGACATCAGAAGAAGAAGAAAACAGGAAACAACCTAGGAACCTGCTACAAAGGGCCTCTGAAAGCCAGAAGAAGAAAACAGGAAACAAACTAGGAACCTACCACAGAGGGCCTCTGAAAGGCTCTGCCCTGCAGACTATCAAAGCAGATGCTGAGCCTGATGGCCAATGTCGGGCAGAGTGAATGGAATTTTATGTAAGAAGTGGGAAATAGTAAGAGCTGGAGAGGACAGGAACTCCACAAGGAGAGCAACAAAACAAGAAAATTTGAACACAGGGAACTTCGCAGAGACTCAAACTCCAACCAAGCACCATGCATGGAGATAACCTAGAACCCCTGAACAGATGTAGCCCATGGCAGTTCAGTGTCCAAGTGGGTTCCATAGTAATGGGAAGAGAGAGGGACTGCCTCTGACATAAACTGATTGGCCTGCTCTTTGATCACCTCCCCCAGAGGGGGCGAGCAGCCTTACCAGGCCACAGAAGAGGACAATGCAGCCACTTTTGATGAGAACTGATAGACTAAAATCAGAAAGAGAGGAAAACCTTCCCTATCAGTGGACTTGGAGAGGGGCATGCATGCAGAAAGGGGAGGGAGGGTGGGATCAGCAGGGGAGAGGGAGGGTCTTATGGAGGGATACAAAATGAATAAAGTGTAATTAATAAAAAATAAAAAAATGTGACAAAAACTTTTAAGAACGGATCAGATGTCTTTTTTAACTAATTCCAATATTTGTCAGTGTTAGATCAGTTTTGAATTGTGATTTATATCTGAATAGCTGAATAGCTACTTGTTTTATATATCACATTTTTTTATGTGTCTCATGTTTTTGGGTGCTAGTCATGGCAATTTTACCTTAATTGTAAATATCTTTATTCCTATTAATAGCCTTATACATTTTTCTGAATCTGTAAGTTAAATGCACAGTTTAATTATGTATAAAAGTTTGATCATTAAAAACAACAACAACAACAACAACAAAACTACCAGGCAGGTTGGGAATGTAGCTCAGTTGATAGAGTATTTGCCTATCATATATAATGTCCTTGGTTAGATCCCCAACATTGCATAAAACGGAACTATAATGCATGCCTGTCATTCCAGTGTTCAGGAGCTAGAGGCAGGAAGAAGAGATGTTTAAGGCCATTTCTGGCTAAATGCAGCATATGAAGGGAACTTGGAATACATGAGAGCCTGTCTCAAAACTGAACCAAACCAGACCAAACTGATAAAAAGCTATCAAAATGCACGTAGATACAACAGGTTTGGGAATTAAGGACAAAAAACAGAAAAGGAGGATCAGCATAGATGTACTTGTGGGGAATTCTTTAATAATGATTAATTAATTAATTTTTTAATATTTATTTTTTATTTACACAACAATTTGTCTGAATACCAAATCTTACTATAGTTGGTTATGAGCCACCATGTGGTTGCTGGTGATTGAACTCAGGACCTTTGAAAGAACAGCAACTGTTTTAACCTCTGAGCCATCTCTCCAGACTGATTAATTTATTTTTAGTTAGGATAAAAAAAACATTCCTTCTATCAGGACATTCTACAATGATGAAAATGTTCTTAGTTTCAGACAGATACAGTAGCCACCAGCCACAAGTGATTACTGAGTACTACAAATCTAGCTATCATGACTGAAGGATTGGGTTTCCATTTTAATGAATTATAACAGTTTCTATTAGTCATTTAAAGTATGTGACTTAGTTGGACATTCTCTCAATCTCTGCTTTATTTTTGTCCCTGTCCATCGTGTAGGCAGGGTAGATTTTGGGTTGAAGTTTTTGTGGGTGGAGTAGTATTCCCTGCCTTCCACTAGGAGCTATGTCTCGTTAGGAGGTCACCTTTTCAGTCTCTATGACTCTTCTTTCTTGGAGTCTCTGGAGTCACCCTCATATCCATTCAGGAGTCTGCTCTGTCACAGGTCTCCAGCTTGTCACAGAGAAATCCCCTCTCAAGGTTTCTCTTCTCTCTGCAAGCCTTGGGTCTTCTTGCCCTTGCTCTCCTCAGGTCTGAAACTGACCCTCATTTCTCTTCCTGTTCCCTCTCTTACCTTGTCCCCTCTCTTCCGCTATTTCCGCTCTCTATTTTGTTTACACTTCTGAGTGGGAATTTAAGCATCCTTCCTTTGGTCTTCCTTGTTACTCATCTTCTTTAGGTCTGTGAATTGTAGTATGACTGGCCCAACCTGAGACTCACCCATGGGAGACAGCCAACCCATGATATGATTAACAATACATTGCTATGCTTACAGATGGGAGCCAAGCATAGTTTCCCTCTGAGTGGCTCCAACCAGCACCTGTTGGAAACAGATCTAGAGACCCACAACCAAACATTGAGTGGAGTGTAGGGAGTCTTGTAGAAAATTGGGGGCAAGGATAGAAGGACCTAGGGGGGACAGGAGCTCCACAAGAAGACTAAAAGAGCCAACTAACCAGGGCCCAGGGGGTCTAGTAAAGACTGAAGCACCAACCAAGGACCATGCATGGACTGGCCCTATGTCCCAAAGACAGATGTAGCCGATGGGCAGCTTGGTTCTCATGTGGGTTTCTTAGTAATGGGAATAGGGGTTCACACTGACATGGACTTTTTTGTCTGCTTTTTGATCACTTTCTCCTGGCAGGGCAACATTGCCAGGCCACAAGGTAAGATGATATACTCAGTCCTGATGTGACTTGATATGCTTGGGTAGGTGGGTTGGTAGGGAGGGCTCCCCTTTTCTGAGGAATAGGGGAGTGGTGATAGGGGAAACATGGAGGGAGAGTGGGACTAAGAGAAGAGGAGGGAGGGGGCTATGACTGGAATGTAAAATGAATAAATACAAATTAAAGTTAAAAAAAGAACTTCTGCTGCCTGAGCATTCCAACATGCTGAACTGTACCTTAGAGCTACAAGCCAAAATAAATCCTTTATCATTTAACAAAAAAAAGGTACTTGCCTTACTTAATAGCACATGTGCTGTACCATTACTTCTTTCAAAAGTAATCTTAAAATATTTTGTATTAAAAAAAATTTTGCTTTCTTCAAAAAGATGACTTTTGGAATGAATTGGTAGACTTACCTTCATCCAGAGGAACTTCCTCTTCCTGTTCAATGGGGGAAGGAAGCAGGGGCTGCAATGGTTCCATGTTGATGATGAGCTGTTTGTTCAAGGAGTGAAAGCTGCGACTCTGAGTAATATTGACTCTAAAAACAGATACAAGCCAAATAAATGCCATGTCCACTACAAATGGTGGTCCCTCCCTCTCAGGGGCTATCTAAAATCAGAACTACCTCTGGATACATAAAAGCCAATAGTAAAAAGTCCTACCATTTAAAACACATAGCTTTCCTTGTCATTAAATTCCTGACAAAAGTCTATAAATTCTACCCAATTCTGTGGAATAAATTAAAGTTCCCCAAATGTCATCAAACAAAGATATGCTGGGTGATAACACACAAATTTTAAATAGACACAGGCAGCACACTGGAAAGTCTGATCACACTGAATTAGACAGTAGCTCAGAGCTACTGAACCACTACCACCACAAATCCTGCTTGGACAGAGGACACAGACGATCTGCAACTGTGAGCTACGTTGTCAAATGTACAGTGTTTCAGATTTCCATTCATGCCTTCTTCATCAGCCAGCCATGCAAATCCAGTTCTGGTTCTCCTTTGGAAAAGCATGTACACAACAGGAGCTGTGATAAGTAGCAGATGGCAAGGAAACTCTAAGTGTCTTATTAAAACTACTGCTCAGTAGCTGGAAGTCCATTGCCTTGTCTGTTGCCATGAGTCCAGCTGTGGATCCCAGCATAGGGGGAGGTAGAGGCACATTAAGTGTTTAACTTTCTATAGTTTCTTTAGTTTCCTGTAAAAACTACACCAACCAGTCTTTTAAAATGGTGTCAAATGTCTCTGTCTTGAAGCCTTTCTAGTTTGTTCCTCACAACATAATTCCACCCTTTTATTCTCTCTTTGGTCACATACTACTTTTTCTTCTTTCACAATTTATTACATTCATTACTTTTGTCAGTCTTCAATTATTATTGTACTAATCAGCTCCATTGAGATAAGACTATGGCGATTCTTAATTGTCTCACATTGTCTTACTGTATAGCATCCTATAGGGGTTTCAGGTCCTAATCTAAAGTAAACTCAATACTTCCTTGGTTTGACATAGCCTTGAATTTCAGATTGCCTAGAATTTTCTCAGGCTAGACATCTGTTAGGACTTCTATGGAAATACAAAGAATAGGATATCTATTAGCATCTTGAACTGGAAACTCACAGGTGACACTGGCTGCACTGAAAATTTATTGGGACTTGCCTAACCACAGTGTCTTTTCTTCCCTTATTATTCTAGAAGCTGATGTTGGAACTGATGATTATGTACTAGATGTTTGTTTTGATGACTGTTAGCTCTCACATTAAGGAAAACACTGTCCAGAAGTAAGATTTTTCATGTTAAAAAAATCTGAGAAACATATTACAAAATACAATTTGTATCATCAATTTTCCTCCCAACATTCTTCATTTGGAGATGTTGAACATTTTGATATTCCATTCTAAGTGAATTGTCCAACAACTGCTTGGTTCTGGGAGAGGCTGAGATTACCAGGATTGGCTTCCTAAGTATAAGTCTATCTTGGTATTTGACAAAAGGAAGACAACTTGTCCCCTATACACCGATTCATACTGCTTCATTGTAGGAGAGGTTTATGACTGAGGGTTAGGTAGCTAGGCTTTGGTAGATGACCCTTATAGCACATTACAAACCTCAGATTTAAATAACATATCAGAGAAGGTCACAATTTTCCCAATAAAGACAAGACTCAGATAAAGCCATAGGAATTTCCCACAGCACAAAATTCTAGGGCTCCAAGCCCTAGGACAACTTGATAACTTGAGAGAAAGAACACAATAGAAAGTTAATGAGATAAGTACATCTCTTCAAACTTTATTAGAATTTCTGTGGTCTAAAATTATTTTTCCATTTATCGAAAAAGATTTCTAAAAAAAGAGAAAATATATAATTTCTATTGTGATGTTACTGAGGGGCAGGGCATCTGGGATATGACTCAGTCATGAGAGCCCTTAAGAATACTCTAGAGTTTTTATAAATGTAATCTGAGGGACAGTGGGGTGGCTTAGTAGGTAAGGACACTTACCACCATACTTGATGGCCTGATTTATTTTAATCCTACGGCTCCATAGATAAAGAAAAGAACAACTCCTTTAAGTTGTCCTCTAACATCTCAATACCTGCGGAAATGAGTGTGCATGTTCATTCACCTCCCACACTCTCTAAATACATAAAAAGTAAATAGACTGCCAGGGCAGTTTGTTTTTCTATTCCTTCAATGTTGGACAAGCAAGACCATTTCTGCTTATAGGGAAACCCTCATCAGAAATCAAATCTTTCAGTGTTTCTGTCTTTCATGTTTCCCATCCCCTAGAACTGTGAGAAATAAAATGGTGTTGTGTACAAACTACCCAGTCAATAGTGTTTTGCTATAGAAACATATAGAAACTCTATCTTCTATTTTCTTTAGACTATAAATTATCCCTACTTACCTATTTGGAAAGTTGCAAATAGGATGACTGACATGGGTTCATTTGAGAGAAATGTTCATTGGAACTATGGCTAAAGACAAATACATAACAGAACAAAATCTGAATGGTCATTTCGTTTTATGTACTGCCTTATGTACACTACTTAATTTTTGCTTTTCTCTGTATGCGTATAAGTCAGGTATAATAAATATTATATTTTTACTGATGAAAGAAATTAGAATTTAATGATGTCATGTAACTTGATTAAAAAGAGTAATGTTCTCTCCCCTAAACATGGTCCTAGACCATCTGACAAAACCCTAGTACCAGGCATAGATAATCTTTGCTCTGGTTGTTGATCAGAGGAAGAAGGGGCCCAAGATACTCTTAAAAATTGTATGTTAACGCATTGTGCTTGGTTGTCTCCTAAAACTTGAGGGTATTATCCCATTGTAGAAGACCCAATATACTTCAAATGCAAGATTTGGAATATACCCAGAAGCCTCCTCCCTGAGGACTAGCTGTCAAAGCATCAGAAGGTAAAAGAAAATGCCGCAGGGAGAAAAATCAATGACCATACACAGCTCTAAAGCCTGTAAACCAGGAGAATAAGTTAGTAAGATATTCCTAATTGGGCAAGAATGGCAGTTTTATCTTGGGGGTATACAACAACTGTCTAATTGTATGTAAGGATTGATTAATGGGAGGAAACATGTCTGGTACTGTAAACCTAGTTAACTAACCAAAGCTAGTGATATCATGGATCCTAGAGGAGAACCTACTATTGCCACTTTCCTAAATGGCATTTTATACCATTTTTAAATGGTTTAATTTCTATCAGTTTTCTAAATAATATCTACAGATAAGTGTAGTTCTCTCCCCTCATCAAAGAAGGTTCTTTCTATGGCAGGTGGCATCTGCCGCAGAGATCCACTACTGATCAAAATACAGATAATAAGTGTCCACGGTATGCCCAGCTCCAGTTAGTATAGCCACAACACAATCTCTATGCTGAAGGCTCAGGGACAATTGCAGAAGAGTAAGTGGGAAAGATTGCAAGAATCAAAAGACCAAGATGCCTGTTGCAAGAATGTGTGTTCCAGTCATAAGGAGGACGCTGTATCCATGAAGTCTCATCAGTATGGTTGTCTGGACAAGATCTGCATAAGCACAATATCAATTGATATGCTAATGTGACTAAGGAAAATTTCACAAGGCCTCACCCCTAGATGAATAGATTCTGGAAATCAATGGCTGCTGAGATAGGGAAAAATTAGATTTCTCCAGGGATGATTCCTCCTACAATGATAGGTTATCAAAGTAATCAGCCTTAAACACATGTGCATACAAGTAACATTAAATAAACTCAGAAAAATATAACCTGAGTATATATACACATATGTTTATATATGTTTGTATATATATCTACATGCTTATATAATATATACATGTAGATTTATGTGTAAACAAACATGTATATATATGCTCAAATGTTCAAATGACAGAGCAGTAGCCATGAAAGGAATTGGAGTGGAGAAAGGGAGGGATTAAAATGATTTAATATACTCAAATATGAAATACTAAAAAAAAAAAACTTAATAAAAACAAAAAAACTTAATAAAAACAAAAAGAATTACATGGGCAAACCCAGGATTCTAAACCTTGTCTAATACTTTTGTTTTATGCCACACTTTTTACATTAGTGAGTGTATAGCATTCTAAAGACATTTGTTTTACAACTAATATTTCAAAGTTGGGGCTATATAAGAATGTCCCACTGTGACAAGCACTTTTCTGAGAATTTGCCAAGGTTCAAATTGCTTTCTACTCTGCCCTTCCTCCTCATAGACTGAGGCATTTTAGTCAATTCTGTGATGCTATTACAAATACGGAATTTTTGTAATGGACAAATAAAATTAATTTATTTAGACTGTGGGTCTAGACACTGGAAAAATCCTGAAAGCATTGTGTCGTCATTGTCTTAGTTCTTGATGAAGGCCACATGATGGCTTACATCATGGCAGACAACGTAGAAAAACAAACTGGAATGTTCAAAAAGGCAAATGTGAGGCAGCACCATTGTCAAGAAAATCAACAGTTGGGTTGAACTCAATTGGGAAGAACTCAATACCATCAAGAGATGGAATCCATTCATGCAGGTAGTGCCTCCATGAGTCAAACACTTTTCAGGTAGCCTTACCCTTAATTTTCTCACCTCCTTGTAACTACTCTATCAGAATCAAAGTTATGGTATAGAAACCTTGTGGAAGCCCCAAACCTCATTATGAGGTAACTGATTCCTATGCCAAATAAAACATGTGGTACATTCCTATTCAATTTTATCCAAATAAAGCTATAATTAAATTAAGCTTAAATAAATTAAGAAATCTATGAGAGGAGGAAGGTTTTGTTGTGGTAAATTAAAGTAGATTTTAACATTAGAATATATAACTTGTGTAGACTTCAAATACTGATGTTTTTTGTTAGCATGAGAAAAGCGTACATTCAAAGATGAAAAAGGTGGAATTACATAAGCTGATTGTAAACTGATGACAGGTAAATGCAGGACTTGAAAATAGTGACAAAACGAAACAAGTACACTGAAGTTTATGATAGTCATTCACCACTCTATGATCAAAGGAAGTAGTGCTGGCCTATTGTCTGAAGGGATTTCGGTATGGAAGTATCCTCTTCATTCTCCCTCCCCAATTTTACAGTGTTGTGGTTTGAACCACAGTCATTGCAATACTGAGCAAGTATTTTATTGAGCTTAATGCCCAGATCTAGCTTCCTTGTAAATGAATGGTAGTAATGATATCATTGCCTTACATGTGTATGTCACTTTACATTTTAAAAAGAATTTTTTTAAGTCCCCAACAAAATCTAGAAGTAGGTCAAGGCAATACAGGAATCTCATTTCATAGATGGGTAAACCAATAAACTAGGAAATCCAGTGACTTACCCAAGGCCACAGAGCTGGCAGGCAATGTAGCAAAGATTAAAATCTATTCATTTTTGTATCAGAACATTCTTGTATCTTGCTGGTTCTGGGTGTTCTGTGTGTCCCCTGGTGGTGGATGCTATGTTCCGAGCTGCAGCCCTTCATCTGATGTGGCCTCTTGGCTAGGCTCAGGGATTCTTCCCCAGCAGCCAGCCCAGGAGAGCTTTCCCCAGGATCTTCCCATGCCATCAAAAAAGGCCAGTGAACTAACGTCAGAATGAGCTTCTCTATCTGAAGGAAAGAATAATCCTAAAATATTCTCAGTCTGTTGGTTTCTGTCTCTTTATACATACACATTTTTCAGAAGCTAGAGTCTATAAGCCTGTCATATTTTTGAGATGTCGAATGGAAGGTGTGAGGAAAGATGGTAAGTTAATACCTTATTAATGCCATTATAGACTAACATTTTTTTTCTGAAGAGTCTCAACAAATTGTAATCTCATTATTACATTTTAACTTTTGATAGCCACATCAGAGAAGCCAATATAGTTTAAAAATAAAATAATGGTTGAAGAGAAACATGTTCTTCTATGCAAATGAGTTAATACCTTATTAATGCCATTATAGACTAACATTTTTTTTTCTGAAGCGTCTCAACAAATTGTAATCTCATTATTACATTTTAACTTTTGATAGCCACATCAGAGAAGCCAATATAGTTTAAAAATAAAATAATGGTTGAAGAGAAACATGTTCTTCTATGCAAATGACTTCTAAGAAGGTAGAAATTACATAAAGGTTCACACATTTCTGCTTCTCTGACCACAGTGGTGCCACTGGAGAGGTCAAGGGCCTTCAGCATAGTGTCTTGGACACATCTGATGTCTAAGAAAATGATTTACTCTCATATCAATTAAATAAAAGAAATAAAGATATCATTAAGACTATATTCTATCCAAAGTTTTCTGGAAAAGTGAAAATGATATTATTTGATTATTCCTGTCTTCCTTTCTGTTATGCTAAATTGTCACAGCTTAGGAGAGGGGAGAGTGTTTTAAATTGCTTTCTGATCTTTGAGCAGCTTGCCGCATATTTAGATATTGCAACAAGGCAGTCTCAATCCAGAGTTCCTACACTCTAACCCTGCAGGTTTCTTTTACATTTTAATAGTGGAGAGACAGCTTTAACAGCACTGCATATGAGATCTACCCTTAGAACTACCCAAAAGCAGGAATGAATTAGAAGCTGCATCAGATCTCCTGAAGACTTTAGCTATGTTCAGCTTTTCGGGAGACAGGTATGTCTAGATGCCCTTCAATGTCTGGCTTAGCCTATTTTTTGTAAGGTCACAGCTATATCCTGCCTATAACCCCAGGAATAAGGCAGAACACCACTGAGCTCACGCAAGATTCTTGAAAATGGATGAAACTAAGCAAATATGGACGTAAAGGAAACACTTTTGGGTTCCAAAGTTGAACAAGGAAATTCAAGTGCAAACTATCCTGTAAGAAATTCACTAAATAGTTTAGCTTATCAGAAGTGGAGGCCTTATGAGGGAGGATGGGGGGCTAGGAAAGGAGGTTTTAGGGTCTAAGTTGCAAGGGTAGTGGGAGATGAAGGTGAATAAGAACAAAGGAGAATGACATATATGTATGTAAATGCCATAATGAAGTTCATTATATCACATGATAACTTAAAAACAAAATTTAAAAATAATTAGGTTATGATGATTTAATTTTAAAGGGTGTGGTGTCATGATAAGAATATTCATTCTATGGCATTCAGTATGTTTGAAGTTTAGGATATATATTTGTTTTTGTAAATTATAGTCATATAAATTCAGTTTGGCAAAGAAAACACTTAATTTCTAAGAACTAACTAGAGACTGTTATTTTGAAAAAGATGTATATTAAGAGGCTAATGAGACATGAACTGTGTATAGATCTGAATGTAGTACAGCAGGTGTGAGAAAGCTTATGGTATGCAAATAAGCCCAAAAGACCATCCATTTGATCCAAACCCCTCAGTCATTCGAATAATGTTGCATTTTGAACTGCTATCCCTTTTCTTTCTCCATTCCACTTCTTTTCTGATAATTCTATATAATTTCCTAATAAACTGTTACTGCTCAACTATAACTATATGCTTCAGGTCAGTTCATTTCTCAGGGACAGAATAACCTAGAACACATCTGCAGATGTGTTCATGGTAACCTAAATTTCTAAGCTATTACAGGGATGGATATTTGTTGTTCAGTCACACAGAAGGACTCACTCAGAGTAGTAAGCCTGACTGTGCATGATGAGTAAGATACGGTTAGAACTAGTCTATGAGGGAAATGTGACAAGGTAATGGAGCAGACCGAGCAAGCAGGAGCCATCCAATGGCATATGTTTTGTTTACTCATGTAGAATCCTAGACCCAATACCTATCTGCCTACCGAGGGACTTAGGAGAGAGCCAAGCTGCCTTTAGGCCACAGCCCTGATATATCTGAGAGAGCTTTCTAGGGAAGTGGATGCCTTGACTTCATTCTGCATGCCACTATACATAGAGATGTAAGAGAGGGATCAGAAAAGTTAAGATAAAATTATTTTTGTGCTGTTGAAGAATGAACCCCAAGCCTCATGTGTGATAGTCTAGCTTTTAAGTGACTTTGTTCATCATTGAAGCACCCTCCTGCAAGCCAAAAGGGAGCTCCCTTCTCACCTGTGCACCTCAGGAGGATCCCTCTGGATTTTGGAGCTTGCCTCTACCACCTCTTTAGCAACTTTACCACTACAAAATACAGAAATACAATGTATGTGAGTAGACACACCAAAGAAATGGGGAAGGGTCTCATATTCCCAAGTCAGCTCTAAAAGTACACCCCTTCCCTTCTTCCATGAGTAAAATTTATGTCGAGGTTTAGGATGCTCTGTCAGGAGAATAATTCAATGGAATGGAAAATAGACTAACAGAGAGTCATAAGCACAATATCTGCAACAAAACACTTAAATGTAAATGGATGACATCACCCCAACCCATCACTGCAATGGACCAATTGTTACCCACCTGTACCGAAATCTACTTCCTTTAAAAAATATCTTGCTGCTTGACACAGTCTTGATCTGACTGGACTTTGCATACCTTTAAGGAGAAGCATAGCAGAAGTGGTAGTGACATTGAAAATTTCAAGCAGGACATGAAGTAGAGCTGAGGTAATCACTTGTTTTAACTTCAAGAAAGAAATTTATTTTACATACTGACTAAGCATGTACACACATGATCTGGAGTATTTCCCCCCAAAAAGAAATTTTATGTACATTGTAATTTGATATGTTCAATATTATTTCCTTTCATTGATTGTGAACACTGGTCATAATCCACGCATTTGATATTATACTCCATTTCTAGGTTAGGCCAGCAAAAAGTTTCAGGCAGTGTTGATGAATAGAAAGAACTGTTCCTTCACTCATATTGAGAGATATAAAGATTATGTAATATGGCATCATCAAATTTATTAATGATGGAGACTCTTTTTCAGCTGTATCTATGTGAACATTAAAACAGAAAACAGTTTTCTAGCCAGAAAGGTCATTCCCTTTGTTATAAAAAAAAAAACTCATAACGTGCTGCTTTTTCAAAGGAATGGGTCCATGACACCACAGCATCATGCCCTTGAAAAGACAGATGGCTTGGATACATAAGAATGGATCAGTCCAGTACTGATTTAACCTTTACACATACACTTGAAAACAACAACAACATTCTGGAAAGAACTCAAGAACATGCGCTGCCTCAGAATGGAGCACAGGTTACCATGATAGCTAAGGATGCTTCTGAGCGCAATGCAATGACACATAAAGAAATTAGAAATAACTGGCGTTTCACATTTCAAGATGATAAGAAATACTGATAATGCAAAAAAAAAAATCTCACTAGACCAGGTCCACACGTAGATGAAAAACTATAGGCAATTAATGACAGTTGTGAGAGGGACAATCAGTCTTCCCAATGAATAAGTTGCCTAATTGGTTATCCAATACCAAGTGACCATCCCTAAAATAGTATACACATGTGTGCATATGTGTGTATATATGTAACACTAAATGGACTTAATGGGCTGTATTTATGTATTTAGACATATATATTAACAAGGATAATTAAAAGAAAAGAGGCTATGGATTTGAAAGGGTAAGTGGGAAACAGAGAAGGGTAGAGGATTATGTGTGTGTGTGTGTGTGTTATATGTACACATATATAAAATTAAGAAAAACAAGACATGCTCAGGGAGGCAGAGTCAGGTGGATCTCTGTGAGTTTAAGGCCAGCCTGGTCTACAAAGTGAGTCCAGGACAGTCAAGGCTACACACAGAAACCCTGTTTCAAATAAAACAAAATAGAAAATTGAAAGGGAGGAAGGAAGGAAGGAAGGAAGGAAGGAAGGAAGGACGCACAAATCAACTTCAGCAGTATAGCTTCATGGTTCAAGAAGTAGATGCTGCTTCCCAAATAGAAACCAAACAAAAAATGGCAGTCCTGCCTTCAGAACAAGCCCACAGCCCTCACTAGCCTCAAATCCAGTTTCTGACTTTCCTGTTATAGTGATTCCTCGAGGCCATAGGTCAGAGGTGTAAAGAAATCCCACCATGTCACTGTATATGACTTGGAAGGAAATACCTAGGAACTACCTTGTGAAAGAGATCATTGTTAAAAACAGATTGTTTGTCTTTCTGTTTCTTAGTGACATTACTCACTATATATTTCTAGTTTCATTTACTTATCTCTGAATTTCACAACTTTTATTTTTTTTATAGCTGAATGAAATTCCATTATTTATTTGCACCACATTTTCATCATCTGTCTATCATTTGATGTACATCTAAGCTGTTTTTAATTCCCAGCAAAGTAAATAGAGTAGCAATGATAGTGAATGAGGAGGTATCCATGTAGTAGAATAGACTGCATTGGGTACATGCCAAGGAATGATATAGCTGGATCGTATGGTAGATGTTTCTAGCTTTCTGAGGAACCTACACATTGATATCCATAGTGTCTGCATGAGTTTTGACTCCCACCAAGAATAAGTAAAGATTACCTTTACTCTGTACCCTCCCTAGAATATATTGTCTTTGTTTTTGTGTTCTTAGCCATTCTGACAGGGATGAGATAAAATCTCAAAGTAGTTTTTATTTTCATTTCCCTAAAGCTTAAGGATGTTGAGCACTTACATCTTAGTTAAACCAGTCATCTGCTGTAACCAGGCTTTCAGTGGTGGGACTGGGGCACCAACCCAGCCATAAAACCTTTAATCTACAACCTGTTCTGGACACAAGATGTTCTAGGGCAATGTGGCTCAGAGCTTGTGGGAGTGGCCAACCAAAGGCTGGTCTAACTTAAGGCCCAGGCCACGAGGGAGCCCATGTCCTACACTATCTGGATGGCCAGGAATTGGAAGCTAGATGGCCTAGAAACCAATGCTAGCCCAACAGAGCAGATGCAGAGACTCACAGCCATATATTAAGTGGAGCTCGGGAACCCCATGGAAAAAAAGGAGGAGGATTTTGGGAGCCAGAGGGCTGCAGGATGGCTCCATGAAGAACATGGCCCACAGAATTAACTAAGTAGGGCTCACAGAGAGGGAAGCAGCAGTCACAGAGCCTGAATGGCTCTATACTAGGTCCTATGTATCTATGCTGTGTTTGTTTAGCTTGGGGTGTTTTTGTGACTCCTAACAATGGGAATTAGGGTATCTCTGATATTTGCCTGCTCTTGGGAGCTTTCTCCTCCTACTGGATTGCCTTGTCCAGCCTTGATGAGGGTTTGTGCCTAGGATTATTGCATCTTATTGTACAGTGTTCAGTTGCTCTCCTTGGGAGGCCTGCTCTTTTCTGAAGGGAAATAGTGAAACAGTGAATCTTGTGTGGGGGGGAAGAGACTGGGAGGAGTGAAGGAAGGGAAGGCTGTGGTAGAGTTGTATTATATGAGAAAAGAATATTTTTCTCCTTAAAAAAAGGAGAAAAAGCACTTCTTAGCCTTTGAATTTCTTCTTTGAGAACTCTGTTTCTTTCAATAGCACAGTTTTAATTGGGTTGTTAATTTTATTTTTTTGGTTTATTGAATATTCTAGACAGTAATCCTCTATCAGATGTATACATGATAAAATATTATGTTGCAGATTTATATTACATTTAAATAGAATACAAACAGCTGTATTAAAAAATGAATATACAGTCATTGCCAAGGCACAAGGCACAAAGGGATCCATGAGTGCTTTAAAAACCTATAATCAAATGAAAACAAGAGTCTTACTTATAAAAGGCTTGGTTTTCTACCCCACATTTCCATAAATGTTTGCAGGCAGCTGGCGTTGAAGTATGGAATGCCAAGACAGCGCTTTTCTAATAAAAAATAACAAGAAAGGGCACAATAAACACAATTTATATTATTTATGCTTTTCATTAAGGTATTTGTATCCTATTACAGTTTTTAAAATATATACATGCAGGGAGGTTCATGCATTCTTGTCTGGAGGCAAGAGGTTGATATTGTGTATCTTCCTTTACCACTTTCCAACTTATTTTTTGAATAGTCTCTTGCTGAGCCTGGAGTACACCATTTCAGCTAGAGTGGGAGGCCAGCAAGCTCTAGAGATAGCTCTCCACATACGGCTAGGGTAAGAGTGTTATGTAGGTGATGGGTATCCACACTAAAATCATGTTAGTTGCACAGTTAGTACTTTCCCCATGAAGCCTTCTCTGCAGCAACCCCTCCAACATTACTTTGTTAGAGTTGAAATGGCATGGCTTTTTTCTCACTCATCAGACATTACTAATCTATTTAAATGCTACACAAAACCGATTGATTAAAGCTTACCAATACTCCAGGTATTACCTACCTCTCTATCAATTCTTGATCAATCTAAAAATTACTTGCCACACTGGAAGAACATTTGAGTTGATGTCAAAGGTCAAGAAAAACAGCAAACGTCAGACCTAGCTTTAGGGTTCAACATTTTGGCAATAGCCTTCCACCAAGTCCATTCCTTGGTGAAAACACAAACTATATCTCATGACTGTTAAAAACTCTTGGGGAAAAACCACTTAGGACTATATACTGTGACCACAATACTTTTTATTTTTCTTTTTTTATTTATTTAACTTTACATGCATTAGTGTGAAGGCATCAGATCCCTTGGAATTGGCAATTGTGAGACAGTTGTGAGCTATCATGTGGGTACTGGGAATTGAACCCGGGTCCTTTGGAAGAGCAGGCAGTGCTTTTAACCACTCTATACCACGTTATCTGGTGTTGATTACTGCCTAGTTTTATAAGTATTTTTCTTTCATTTTATTTATCTGTAATTTAGACAAAGATTTATAGAGAGCATCTATGTTTTATATTTAATGAACAAAGCTTATCCTAATCTTTTACATAGGTCCATACAGTTAATATTGCTCACTTACTTTATTCTTACCTGTGGATTACTACTAACTTATCTAGCACTAAAATCTTTTCAAAAATAGCTTCCATTATTCCCAGTCTTCGAAGGTACTCTCTTTGGGGGCAATCATCCTGAAAGCTGTTTTGTTCTTAGATCTCTCTTATACACACACACTTGCACATGCACATACAAGTAATTATAAAAGTCAGCAGCTGACCTCTTTCTGAGTGCCAATCACATAAAATGTCTTCCCTTCAAACTTCAATTTGCAGACATCTGACCTAAGAAAAGAAAGTCTGTGGGTAAGAAGGAAAAAAAAAAACACCTATAGATAAATAAGGTGTCTGGCTCTTCCATGTAAATCTATCTGACTCACAGATGTCAAAATATTTTCTTATCATCAGTGATGGTCTATTGAGAATGGAGGTCTCTAAGTTAAAGTACGTAGCAATTTTCTTCCCAAGAGTTGATACTCTGCAAGCTCAAAATTATTTCATTTTTATACAGTTAGGATACATCTTTTATTTAAGAGGTTCTGAATTATTTGTAACATTAGCAACTGAAACATCAATTGGTGAGCTTACTTTGCAAAATAGAAAGAATGTTAGTAGTATAATAGGGATTCAAGGTATCTATTTTTTCTATTCTCCTCCACCCACCTCTAAGGAATAACATATACCACATTGCAAATTTTCAAAAGAATAATTCCTGTTCACATTAAAGTTTTCAAAAAAATTTATGGTAAAAAGACAACTTTCATTTTTATTTCAAAGGGTTATTTGATGTAAACCTGTTTTGAATGTAGGTCCATACTCATTTCCTTGATAGTGAAAAGAAGGGTTTTAAAAATCTTTCTTTTTTTTTTTTTTTGTAATTTCTATAATAGTTCTATTGCATGTGTATTTTTCCTATGAGAAAAGAAACAGTGATGCTTTATTCATCTGTTTCAATTTAGGCGAAGAATTTATAAAATTGTAATAAAGCTGGATTTTAAAAAACACACAAGATTTACATGAGAAGAAAATTTGATTTAGCAAGATGAATGGTTATAACAAACAAATATGTTTAAGAAGAAGCCAGGAAGGATGAGATCCACATGAACACAGTACCAGTAACATAGGCAACCTGAAGAAATGAAAACAGAAACAAATACTCCAAAGACTATTCACCTCCAAGTTTCAAATGACCCCTCCACAAAATGAGATTTAAGGGGGAAAGACATGAAATAAATCTGTATTTAGGTGAAGCAGCTTCTAGTCAATCCAGCCCAGGTCTCAAGTAATGTTGGAAACCTGAGTATATAACATCCTCCAAGACTTTTGCAGTCCTGGGATAGAATGAAGGCAGTCTTCAAGTTACCCATGCTTCCCAAACTAAATTGGAATAGCTATGGTATCTACCCTGGAATTGACTGAAGTAAACACATTGGACCTTCTTTGTCAGATGCTGAAAATCTAGAGAAGAAAACTAAATAGCAACATCATAAAACAATTTATAGTTATCAAATCTCACTAGATTTCCAAAGCACTATTACAAACATTGCATTTGTTCCTCCTCCATCCACCCTTTCTAAGACAGACATATACAACCAATACCCATTTTATGAATGAATTCATTGAGACCTAAAGAATTTATGAGTGACTTCTAAGATTCCTAATTTTGGAAGAAGAGGGCAAATGGGTACAAAGGAGGACTGAAAGTATGACTGACTAAAAAAAATCAATGGTATAGTAGAAATACATTATATAAAAGTTAGAGGTCTGAGACAGATTAACCTAGCACTTAAAAAGAGCAGAATGCATAGAGACAAGTGTTAATCTAGGATTAGCTATTATGGGTCTTTTGTTTTTGAAGAATAGATTTGAAGAATTTTTTAATTTATTTATCTGAAGAATGAGAGGAGGATATTGACTGGAATTGCATTGAACTAGTAAATTTTTTTTTTTTTTTGGTTGGAAAGGTCTTTTTCACAACGTTAATTCTGCAAACCCACAATCATGGAAGGTCTTTAATTTTTAGTCTCTTCCTCATTGTCTTTCTTCACAGATTTTATTGCAGAGGGTTTTCATCTCTTTAGTTAGGTATTTTCTAAATATTTTATTTTACTTGAGAAGTTGGGAATAGGAGTGTGTCCATGATCTCTTTCTCAGCATGCTTATTAATGATGTATATAGACTAGTGAGTTTTGTTAAGCTAGTTATGTATCCTAATACTTTGATGAAATTATGCATATTTTCTATAACTTTTCTGGTAGAATTTTGGTACCTCTTGGGTATAAGATCATATAGTTTTCAGTTGGGAATAATTTGACTTAATGTTCTTCTATTTCTAGCCCTTTAATTTCTCTCTCTTGCCATATTGCTCCAGCTAATGCTTCAGTCACATTATTGATAAGGAGTAGGGGTACTGGACAGTCTCCTCTCATTTCTGATTTTAATGAACTGATTCGAGATTTTCTTCATTTAGGATGATGTTGGCTGTCGGTTTGTCAGACGTAACCTTTATTATGTTGGAAAATAATCTCTACATTCCTACTTGTTCTACGTTTTTTTGTTATGAAGGCATGATAAATATTGTCAAAGCTTTTTATTTTTCTGCTTCTATGGAAATGATCATATGATTTTTATATTTTTTGTCCCTTTATATGGTTTATTACATTTATATCTTACATATGTTGAACGAGTATCACTATAAGGCCAACTTGATCATAAGACATATTCCTTTTGTTACATACCTATATTCAATTTGTAAAGATTAAGGGTCTTTGAATCTATGTTTATCAGGAATATTGGCACATACACACACACAGAGTGAGCTTGTGTGTTTACCTGGTTTTGATGTTAGAGTAATACTGGCTTCATAGGAGGGGTTTAGAAGCACTCCATATTTTCATTTTTTGAATATTTTTAAAAATTTTTTATATTAATTATAGTTTATTCACTCTGTATCCTAGCTGTAGCCCCCTCTCTCCTTCCCTTCCAATCCCATCCTCCCTCCCTTCCTTTTTTCCCATTCCTCTCTCCAAGTCCACTGATAGGGGAGGTCCTCCTCCCCTTCCATCTGACCTTAGCCTATGAGGTCTCATCAGGACTGGCTGAATTGTCTTCCTCTGTGGCCTGGCAAGGCTGTCCCCCCCTCAGGAGAAGGCGATTTAAGAACTATTGGGTGTAGATTTTCTTTGAAAGCCTACTAGAATTCTGCTTTTTCTTTGCATGGGGTAAATCTACCTATCATGAAGCTAAAATATAAATGGTTATTACTTTTTTAGTTTTATTTCTATTGATGTAAAAAATACTCTGACTAAAGGAAAGAAAATTTTTTTTTGCAGATTACAGCTCCAGGACACAATCCATCATTGTGGGAAGTTAAGGCAGGAACTCAAGGTAGACACTTGAAGGCAGCAAATCACTCTATTTCATACAGCAAACAGCAAACAAGAAATCTACTTATAAGCCAATCAGTATAGCAGGAATCATAGTTTGAAACTAGTTGCTAGGAGAAGGTACTGTCCACAATTGGCTATTCCCTCTTATCCCAACTAATAGTCAAAGAAATTTCCAACAGAAATGTCCACAGGCCACTCTGATCTAGGACATTTCTCAATTTAGGTTTTCATACAGATATTATAGTTTGTTTTTCTGTTGCTGTGATAAACACCATGACAAAAAAACAAAAAACAAAAAACAACTTATGGGGGAGGGGTGCAGAATGATTCATTTCATTTACACTTATATGCAACAGGTAAGGGAAGTCAGTGTGGCAAGAACTCAAGGCAGGGTCCTGAAGGCAGAAACTGAAGCAGAGACCACAGATGAATGTTTCTTACTGGCTAGCTCCTCTAGTTTGCTCAGTTACATTACACAGCCCATGCCTGTCAATCAGAGGTGGCACCACTAAGAATAAGCTAGACCCTTCTACATTAATTATCAAAGAAAATGTCCCCACAGACATGCCCATAGGCCAATTCGACAGAATTTCTCAATTGAGAATGTTTTCTTTCTGTGTATGACTAGAATTTTGGGTCAAGTTGAAAAAATTAACTAGCTGACAACAAACTTAACAACAAAATTATTAACTTTTTAACTTAACAAAAACCTATTATTGTTAAAAAATAACTTTATCTTGTCCCTAAGATCCCATGGTCACATCACCATATAAAACACAGTCTTACTTCTAAGAAAATAGACCAATGTGGTCTTTTAAAATTCCAAAGTTTAAAAAGAAAAGTTCTCTTTAAAAATCTAGTAAGTTTACTGTTGGCTCCTGTAAACTCCAAAATATGTGACAGTGTCTTATTTCTAAAAACAAACAAACAAACAACAACAAAACACCACGACACATTAACAATTGTATCCTATCAAACCCAAACTCTGTAATAGCTCAGGGTTCAATATCTGGAATTTACTCATGATCTTTTGGGCTCCAGAGGTCTCAAGTAGTCCCATCCCTCCAGCTCTACAATCAGGAGCACACATAGAGATTCAGCATGCTCTACTCTATACTTGCCACTGCTCTTGGAGGTCATTGATGGTCAATGGAATCTGCACCTGCGCCACTGATAGACCCCGGGCTTCTCTACAGGAATGCTGATCTGGCCAGATGCTACCAATTCTCAGTTTTTTGCATGACCCCTTCAATCCTTTAACTGGGATTGTACTATTCCTAGACCTTCTTGCAGGGACTCTGGACCTGCCACATAGTACCAAGCCGGAGCTGTTCTTCATGACATTTTTATGACTTCAATAGCAATATGATTAGGAGAATCTTACATATTAACATGTTTGGCTTTTAGATTGAGATAGAGTTTTCATTTTCTTTGGACCACAGCTTCTGTGTTCTGATCCAGAGGAAATATTTTCTAGAAGATTTCACCTCAGTGCTGGTGGTCTTACTAATACAGCTGATTTTTCTGTTTCAGATAAGCATTATTAATTGTTCCGCTAAAGCAAACAAGGTTTCCCTTCCGGAGTCTCAAAACAAAGTATCATACAAACAACCCTGATAGAATCTTCTCTTCTGTCTGAAATTTCACAAGTCAAGCCTTTATTGAAAGAAATATAGTCGCTTTCAGCATTATATTCCAATTTCCCACAGGAAATCCCATTAAGCTCTAAACACTCAATCTCTTCTGTGGCTCATAACGTCAAAACCTTTAACAATCTTTTCTAAAACCAACATATTTAGGTGTGTCATAGCAAGTTCCTACTCCTGGTACCATTTTTATTCTAAAAATTTATTTATATACTTATTTATTACAATTTATTCATTTTGTATTCCCATTGCAGCCCCCTTACTTGTCTCCTCCCAGTCCCACCCACCCTCCCTCTTCTCCCCTATGCCCTTTTCCTAGTCCCCTGATAGGGGAGGACCTCCTCCCCTTCTATCTTACCCCAGCTTATCTTACCCTAGCTTCTATCTTACCCTAGCTTATCAGGTCTCATCAAGGCTGGCTGCATCTTCCTCTGTGGCCTGACAAGGCTGGCCCACTAGGGGGAGGTGATCAAAGAGTTGGCCACTGAATTCATGGCAGAGACAGCCCCTGTATCCCTTAGTAGGGAACTCACAAAGAAAACGAAATCATACAATGCAAAAAAGAAAAAAAAAAAAAAGACAGCATCTTCAACAAATGGTGCTGGTTTAACTGGATGTCTGCATGTAGAAAAATGAAAATAGACCCATATTTATTACCCTACACAAAGTTAAAGTCTAAGTGGATAAAAGTCCTCAACATAAAACCAGAAACACTAAATCTGTTAGAGAAAAAGAAGAGCCTTGCCCTTATTAGTACAGGAGACAACTTCCTTAACAGAACACCAACAGCACAGGCTCTAAGATCAACAAATAATAAATGGGAACTCATGAAACCGACAAGCTTCTGAAATCAAAGGACACTGTCATCAGAACAAAATGACAGCCTACAGACTGGGAAAGGATTTTCACCAACCCTATGTCTGACAAAGGGCTAATATCCAGGATATATAAAGAACTTAAGAAGTTAAACATCAACAAATAAAGTAATCCAATTAAAAAATGGGGTTCAGAGCTAAACAGAGAATTCTCAACAGAGGAATATCGAATGACAGAGAAACACTTAAAGAAATGTTCAACATCCGTAGTCATTTGGGGAAATGCAAATAAAAATGACTATGAGATTTCACCTCACACCCATCAGAATGGCTAAGAGCAAAAACTCAAGGGATGGTGCATGCTGGAGATGTGTAGAAAGGAGAACCCTCCTGCATTGCTGGTGGGAATTCAACCTTGTACAACCACTTTGGAAATCAGTCTGGCATTCCTCAGAAAATTAGGAATAGTGCTACCTCAAGATCTAGCTACACCATTCCTAGGCATATACCCAAAAGATGCCCCACCTTTCAATAAGGACCTTTACTAAACCATGTTTATAGCAGCTCTATTCATAATAACCAGAATCTGAAACAATCTAGATGTCCCTCAAAGGTGGAATAGATACAGAAATTGTGGTATTACTCAGCAATTAAAAACAAGGAAATCATGAAATTTGCAGGCAAATGGTGGGAACTAGAAAAAAATCCTGAGTGAGGTATTCTAGAAGCAGAAAGACACATATGATATACTCACTTATAATTGGATATTAGCTATATAATATAGGGTAAATATGCTAAAATCTATAGTCCTAAAGAAGACAAACAGCAAGGAGGACCCTAGGAAACATGCTTAATCATCATTCAGAAGGGCAAACAGGATAGACATCAGAAGTAGGAGAAGACACAGAACAGGACATGAACCTTCCATAGAACATCTCTGAAAGACTCAAACCGCCAGGGTATGGAAGGAGATATTGAGATACATAGTCAAGCTTTGGGCACAGTGCCAGAATCCTTATGGAAGAAGAGGGAAATAGAAGACCTGGAGGGTACAGGAACTCCACAAGGAGATCAACAGAGCCAAAATACCTGGGCACATGGGAGTCTCCAGAGATCAATACTCCAACTAAGGAATATGCATGGTGAAGACCTAGATCCCCTGTTCAAAGGAAGCCGATTGGTTGCTTATTTTTTTTAAAAATATAGTATGCTTCTTTTGAGGCAGAAACTGAAGCAGAGATCCTGGAGGAACACTGCTTGCTTGTTCCACTGGCTTGTTCTGCTACCTTTCTTATATAGACAAGGCCTACCTATCCAGAGATGCTTAAAACCAAAGTGGGCAATAGGCCATGTTACATCAATCAGTCATGAAGGAAATGACCCACAGATATGCCTGTGGGTTAATGAAGTTTTTAGTGATAAAATTCCTTATAGAGAGTCACTGATTTCAGAGATATCTAAGATTTGTGTCAAGGTGACAGTTAAAGCTAACTAGGAATCTACCAGACAGTGCCAGAAAAAAAAAATTATGCTAACAAGAAAGGAAAGAAGATTAAGAAAAAAAGGTTAGGCATTTTTCCAAAGATGTACTTACCATTTTCTCAAATGGATTCTTTTATTTCCCTGGAATACCACAAAACCTGCAGCAGTGAATCCTAAAAATGCTGTAGCACCTTTTGAATCCTAAAGAAATAAAATTAAGAACTATTTGGATTAAGAAATATAAACGATAACTTACATGCTAATTTTCCTTCATCTTTGGGTAATTCTAATCAAGGCCAGAAACTACAGCCATAAACTAAGTGTTTAAGATATAATTTCCAAGAACATGACTTTCAAAATGTGGGCAAAATCTAGAGTTATATATTGTTTCTTTTCCGGAAATAGACATCTTGCCCTAGAAGGAATCATATAAAAACACACGGATTTCTTCCAAATGCTCTCGTTTCTAGAGTTTTGAGTTGCTTGTGCTCTGGGTCTTCTCTGTAATGCCAGCAAACTGGTTCTTGGTTGCCATTAGCTCTCTAATACAATGAAATGAATACTTTGAGCATTTAGCCCAAGTGATTCAACCACATGCAGAATTTCTGGCAATATCAGTGTAAAAATCACCAGAAAAAAACCTACTTAACTCACAACCAAACCTGAAACTCTAAGCAACTCATAGATAATGATAGGTCAACAAATAACACAAAAATCCAGACAGCTTCTAAACAAGAAAATAAACAGAGGGAATAACATTTCTGGAAAGATTCTAAGCCATCAAATGAAATAAACATATTTATATCATCTTATATCATCACTAGAGGCATCTGGGAAATATCATAAAACAATTGTATAGGCAGAAAACGATGCATATATCAATAGAAGGAAGTAGAACCATCCCAGTACTCCAGCCTGGCCTCCATGCTCACAGAGCCTGAAGTAATAGAGGTTGGGTAAGATCTGGGCAAGCAGATATTTATAAAGTTTTCCAAGTGTTTATGATGAGCACACTGATCTGAGAATTACAGATCTAGTACTTAGCTAATAAGCTTATTAATAAGCTGACTTGGTCTGGGTAAATTTAATTGCTCAAAGAATAACCCCTAAATTTATTTTTAATATTCAGTTTGACATGAACTCAGTCTAGAATTAGTGCTATTATTTGGTTGATACATAGTTAAAATGAATGAATAATTTCTTGAGAATATGAATACAACAGTACCTTACAAAATTGAGAAAAGAAAAATTATATGTCTTGGGAGATAGCTAAATTCACAAAGTGCCAGCCTTTCAAGTATAAAAATCTGAGTCGATATCCCCAAACCCTCATTTAAAAATATCTAGGTATAATAATGTGTAGCTGTAAACCTAACCTTGGTTATAGAATGAGGAAGGATAATTTAAAATACCAGCCTAGCCAAATCAATAAGCTTTGAGTTCAGTGAGAGATTTTTTTCTAATAGAACTAAGGTACAGAGAAATTAATGAAGGATATCTAAGGCTTGCCTTGGGCCTCCATATGTAAGCACATACAAGTATACACTTACCAAATATATATTTCATACACATGAGAGAGAGAGAGACATACAGACAGAAAGAGACACAGAAAGAATCTGAAGCTCTGAGCTAGAGTACAGATGATTCTGACAAAAATTGTTTAGGTTTCATCCTTGTGGAAATGTCACATAGTATGCAAAAAGAAAAAGATCAACAAACACTTTCAGTTAATATAACTTAAATGTTTCTTTTTCTCTTCACCTTTCTCCATTTCAAAGATTACAATGAAAAATTAATATAATTTTATGTGGATGTAACATGTTACACTAACTTGATGGCCAGGGATGTCCAAGAGACTCCCAAACAATAGCCTATTATTTTGTCTTTGGTTAACTCCAGAGGTTGAAAGTAATACCTTCTATTGCTGAAGACACTATGCACTTCAGAAACAGGGCTCAAAGACTTCTGAGCTGAAACTGACCTGAAAGCCCTCTCTTTGAGGACTAACTTTCATAATACCAAAAGATAACAAAAGATACGTCCAAATGAAGTGAAGAAACCAACAGTCCTAGCTATAATGTCTATGACTTGTGCAGTAATAGAATGCATACCTTGGCAATCAGATTTCTTTTCTTTTCTTTTCTTCTTTTTTTCTTTCTTTCTCTCTCTTTTTCTTTCCTTCTTTCTTTTTCTCTCTTTCTCTCTCTTTCTCTCTCTTTCTTTCTTCTTCCTTCCTTCCTTCCTTCCTTCCTTCCTTCCTTCCTTCCTTCCTTCCTTCCTTCCTTCCTTCCTT